AGTATCACCAAATTAGATCCTGTCCCAAAACATTAGTGATTTTCCTATCACGTTAGTGATACATTGTCCTATTAACAACCAGACTGAGGGCCATTATGAAATAACATTGTGCACTGTAATCAAGTAGTGATTTCAAGCAGAAATCAAATCAAAGATCAAGGAGATGTTCCTCATCCATGGCTCTTAGTTTATATGCTAGCTTATGCTGACTATATCATTTTACACTGCTGTATGGTATTATTACTTTGAGTACAGTTTGTACTGAAATAGCACAAATGCTACCTGCTTTAACTTATTGGAGATTTATTAATTTTCATGTTTACATGTCAGATGAGAGAATAAATAGTCAGTGTTATTTAATGAGAATATCCGAGGGACAAAGAATACAAATTCATATAAAAGAATAACTTGCAAATCATAAAAAGCTCTTAATTAAGCAAAGAGGAAGTTTTAATAGTAGTTTCATAATCCTAATTTTAGTACAGATAAAATGAAAAAGTGAGTTTATTTGCCTATATTGAAAGTGTCAAGGTAGAAAATACCCTGAAACATGTCAACATGCTTGTGTGTTCAAATTGAGATAGTTCAGAATACAGCTTATACACAATACATAGAAAATGAAAATGATCCAGCAAAGTATTTTGAGTTCTTTCCCTTCCATAGACTGCTTTTATTTTGAACTTCTTTTCATTTTTAATTTCTTGGGTTTATTTTTTTCCCTACTTCCTTCCTCTGTGCTTTTATTCCCTCTTTCAATAATCATCTATTATGATAGATAGGAACAGAGTAATCCTGGTTATACATACAAATTGGGGAACAAAAGGCTGGAGAGCAACCCTGCAGAAAGAGATCTGGGGGCTTGGCTTGATGGTAAAAAGACAAATCTTGCACAGCTCTCCTTCCAGTGAAGGACTTAAACAGCTGGGTCAGGCCACTAATGTGAACTTTACCATGTGCTGTAAATGTTCATTAGAAGTCAAATTCTGAGCATTCTTCCATATAATTTAAAATACTTTATACTCCTAATAATTCCAAATAATGCAATTTTCAAAATTGTTTAATTGTTTCTTGTTAATACATATCTGAAAAGAAGAAAATTCTATCTTTTATCTAATTTACTTCAAGTCAAGTATCTCACCAGTTTTCATTTCACCTTAATTCCCACCTCTGAATAGACATCTCCAGTTTGTGATTTTTTTTCCATAGGTAATTGATTTAATCAAATGTAGTCACTTAAATTTGCTAAAAAACCCCACAAAACAAAATAAACAAAAAACCCACATGCCACACAACTGGAAATGAACTTGCAGTGAACAGAGAATATTTTGCATCAAGATCAATATACTGGCTCAAACCAAGTTGAATCAAATTGAGAATATCAGTAAAAGGTTTTGAACCTGTGTAGCTAAACTCAGTTTCAAGTCATACTTGAAGTTAAAATGAGACAATTCTGAGTTTAGACAAGGCCCCAGGTGGTATAATTATATTAAAACTTACAACCAAGATCTCCAAAGTTTTGCTATAAACTAGATGTAACATTCCTTATATTTCTGAACATTAAAACCAGAAGATGATACATTCACCTTTCATGTTTTTCATGCATAGGGAAAGAAAGAAAAAAAGTATTGAGGGTGACCTGCACAGGGCCAGGAGTTGGACTCGATGATCCTAATGGGTCCCTTCCGACTCAGCATATTCTATGATTCTATGATTAACTTCTTGTCCTGGTTTAACCGCAACTGGCAACTAGAGTACCACGCAGCCACTAGCTCACTTCCACCCCCACCCCAGTGGGATGGGTGTCGCCGTTATGTCATGACGGTCAAAAAAATACACAAGAAGGTTGTTTCAGGGCAACATAAGAAAGGTTTCTGCTTTATTATTCCCAGCTCCTTTTTATATCATTCTCTAAAAGCAGCAAGCAAGCAGCAACCAAGTAGCAAGCAACAACATCATAATTGGCCACTCATCATTACTGATACACTTGGCAGCAATCGTGAGACACCTGAAGATGTCCAAGGCCAGGGCTGTGGTTCTCACACACCGAACCTAATAATGGCCAGTCTCTTCGCGAACGAAGAACCGGGGAAGGTCTTTCCACCTTCCAGCCTGCGCATTGGATTTTTTAGGTGAGACACAGTGTGCGCGGAACTGAGCCCACCCTTTAATCCTGAGGTTCATCTGCCGGGGCCAAGCATGCTTGGATGGTGGCAGTGAGGTCCTCAGGACGTAGATGGATTGCCTTATGGGCTAACGAGCTCCATCTACCCGGGGAGGGGCCCCGACCAGGAATCGAACCCGGGTCTCTGCAGTGACAGTGCAGTGTGTTTTCCTCTACACCACCGGGGGCTCCAGATTCACAGTCCGACCTCACTCCCCAATTAGCTTGTGTGTAAGACTTACTTATCTTCAAGGCCACACTCAAAAGTTTGCCAAGTCAATCTCCTCTTTCAGGGAGCTAACAGACCTGCTGTTAACCCCTACAGATGGGGAGGAAAATCAGGAAAAAAACCCAACTTGTGGATTAAGAACAGTTTAATAACTGAAACAAAGTAAAATGTAATAATAGTAATAAAAGCGAGAGAGATATAAAACCAAAAATCAAGTGATGCACAATATAATTGCTCTCCACCCGCGGACCAATATCCAGCCTGGTCCCGAACTGTGATCAGCCCCCTTCTGGGTAACTCTCCAGTTTTTATACTGGGCATGACATTCCATGGTGTGGAATATCCCTTTGGCCAGTTAAGATCAGCTGTCCCAGCTATGCTCCCTCACAGCTCCTTGTGCACTGGCAGAGCATGAGACAAGAAAGAAGTCCTTGACTCAGGGTAAGCACCACTGAGCAACAGACAAAACGTCAGTATGTTATCAATATTATTCTAATACTGAATTCAAACCACAGCACTGTACCAGATACTAAGAAGAAAATTACTGTATCCCAGCTGAAACCAGGACACTTCTACTTTCATATGCCCAAAAGGAAAAAAGAAAAAAAAAAAACACAAGATGTGCATTATGTTTCCCTTCCCATTCCTGAGTTGAAGTTAGGACTCTTATTCAATTAAAGAGGTGAAATTGAAAACACTGCATGCTGAAGTGTAACTGAATAGACAGCAGTTATTTTCTACTGTTGTTATGGGGCTCACTTTGTGAATACCCTGCCTTATATATAGCAAACCACAGGCATAATGCTTTGCTAGAACCAGAGTGCAAAATCATTGTTAGATCCTTAATATTTGCAATAAATGAAATGCTGTTATCTCACTTTGAGTGGAATTTGTCTTTACTCTCTAGAAGACATTAAAGAGCTCCATAAAAGGAGTGTTGCAAAATGTGGAATATGTAAAACTTTTCTTAAGAAAGGATGTTCTTTGATGTTTGATCTTTGTATACTTTCAAGCCTTATCAACAAGAAGGGAAATTGAATCTGTGAAACAGATAGGAGCTAACAAGCTCTAAGTGATGTTCATGTGTTGAAAAAACAAAGTTTAGGGCTTGACATGCTGCAGTGCTCTCAGACCTAGGAGGAGGTTAACAAAGCTTGGGGAAAAAGGATGCCCACTGATAGTGGACACAAAGAATGCAGAATTTATGGGACATCTGGTAGAACTCCCAAGACAAGGAAGAAACTAATAAAACCAACTCAGCAATTGTGCTGAAATCAGCTCCAAGTGGGTAAAAGGTAATTCTGGCAGGGAGGATCTGCAACCACAGACCCAAGAAACCCAACTACCCAAAAGAAGAGAAAGGCTGAGCATGTGGACTAAGTAGCATGAGAGAATCATTAACCAAAAGAAGATAGAATACTAATTGATAAGAGAACTATGTAACTTGTAGCCAACCAACACTAATTCCTTTGTTTGTTAAAATGTATAATTAGTAAACTGTTTTGATTGTTGGTGTGCTGGCTTTGTGGAATACCACTGAGCACCCAGTCTTGCTCAACTATGAAATAAATAATCAGTGTCTCTTTTGGGTATGTAATTATTGGCTTGTTGCACACTAGGTAATGAATCTGATTTTGCGGACAACAGGAGCATTAGATGTGTGAAAAACAGTGTCTAGATATCCCCAATTTGTGAGAAACAGAGTCTCGAAATATGATTAGTTTTCAGATTGGAATTTATTATATGGTAAAAGCAAACAGCGCTGGGTGTGCAGACAGGAAATCTTCCTAAGTCTTCCATACCTGATACAGGGTGCAAGTCCGATTTTATTTCAGAACATCTTATACATATTAATTATATCACATGCATATACATTTACATTGTTATTTGAGGTATTCACCAT